TCATCAGTCTTTTACCACAGAAACACCGAATATAAAACACGTATTTTTAGCCTGTATGAACCGTTTATAAACATTGCCTAAACAGGCTCATGAAGCAAGTTTAAAAACTTCCTCACAAATTTTTAAAAAAAAAAATTATAGAAGAACACCAGTATCTTTTTGCAGGATAATTTCAACAGCTTTTCAACACAATTATCTGACATCAAATCTTTCTTTTTTTCTACCGATCAAAACTTTTGTACTTCATAAACACAGCAAAGCGAAAAAAAGCAACTAAAATATGACAAAAAAGAAAGTAATACATAAGCATTTCGTGTCACTATTCCCAACAACTTCCAAATGACAAAGCTTGTATTTCAAACTGTTCATAGACAGCTAAAATCATTTTATTTCATTAATTTCTTATTGTCAAAAAATTTTTATTTCTGTACTTCATTGCATATTACCTAGTTTAATGGCTTCATATGAGGTTGGCGGCTTACAGATACTACTTATAAGCTTGGTATGTTTAAGAACTTTTCCTATAAGAAGCAATAATAATCTAAAAAATTTTTGGCGCTTATTGCGAGCAGGAAAATTTTGTACTACAGGTTTTGAAAACCTTATTTTTCCAAAACTGCCCCTCTGAGGAGAAAAAAGTATTTGTATACTGCTTTCATTTCTCTTACTGACAATACTGAATTGCGATACCGCAGCAAAAGCTTGTCTATACCATGGAATTAGTCACGCATTTCACCAACTGAAGCCCATCCAACACTAAAACCTAGCCAACACAACCCAGCCAAGCGAAGATACAACATAAATTAGCACAAGCCCGTAATACACCAAATCAGTGCTAATCAATACCCAACAAAAACAGACTTTTTACGGTCTAACACATTTTGTAGTGTCTGAACAGACAAAGCTGAAAATTCTCTAGCATTACAACACATTGAACATCAAAATTTTCTGAGGAACGGTAAGTTTTTACTGTGTTTGCTTCGGCTTCAAAACGCGCTTTTTGCTGCTCTTCTCTCTTCCTGCAAATACATTTTAAAAGGCGAATTGCCAGAATCAACGTTTATGAAGTCGTCAAGATGTTTGAGGTAAATCACCTTGAAACTTAGAGACTTGGCCAGTCAACCTCTTTTTCAGATCCCCCGGACGCTGAACTGGGTTAGAGAGGCTCTATTACGGCTTCCAGTCTGACTTTAGGCTGTTTCGTCATGATTAATACGGCTTCAGATTTTCTATGACGGCGTTTTTGACAACGGAGCTATCTATCATTAGAAACGAGCTCACCTGGCATATTGTCCTCTGCCCCGTGTTCAGTTCTGTACTTACATTTTTCTTTTAATCAAATATTTCTGCTGAGATTCCTCTTCTGCTTACTCAAGTAAATTTTTAGCTTTTCCAGTTTGTTCTCTGAGTTTTTATTCCTTACAACTTGACACCGACGAAGTGACGTTACCATTACAAACTTTTTTGACACAGACTGCACTCCTGAAGTGGCTGTTCCTTCACCACCGCTTGCATTCTTTACCTGCATTGAATAAAAGTAACAAATAAGGCGACATAATTTTGTGCCTTTTATAAAATCTAATTAAACCATCTTCAGTACTCTGCCGGGTACTTTTCTGTGATATAATTTTTGCGAATTTTTATTGGTTTTGCACTCATTTTGATACAACAAAATAACTTTGCAACGTGTGGTCTATGTACTCCCTTTAGTTACTTTTTTCGCTTAATTTTTATTAGCATACCACTCAAATAATTCCTCCCACAACTGTCAAAGCTTCTTAAACTAAAATCAGCAACTCTCTATTTCCTATGTGGTACACATGTTTCTCAAGGAAATTCAGGTTTGTCAGTCTGTATTGCCTCTAAACCAGTAGCTCCAAAGGTGGTTTTGGTGAATTAGTCTTAGAAGCGACGTAATTAAACTTTAACTCTATTCTGTTAACTGCTAAGGCTCTGGCTTCAATAAACTTGGACAAGGTTTTTTTTTGAACCTGGCTTGCGAGTCACGACAACTAGCATTCATTATATATTGGTATATCCTCAAGCTATTGCTTTCTCAATGCAAATGCAAGTCTCAACATGCGTACGCGACTGAAAGTTCTGGAAAATTTCTTCTCGTTTAATTAAACTCCTTATAGTGCAAGCCTCGTTCTCGCAAAAAATAGCTGACTTACGGTTGTCTGGTCTTCTTTAGTTCTGTAACACGCTACAACGGCGTGAGCATTTTTGATTTTTTCTACAAAAAGATGTAAAACCAGTATCTCTTCAGAGACCGGTTTACGACTGAGGCAGATCCCATTATTTCCCATGTTTTTCAAGAAATTGCCCTGCCGTCCTCTGCAGAGCATCTGATAGCTCACTTCTTTTTTGACGTCAATCTAGAACGTTCGTTATACTCCTTTTTTTTCCACTTCTTGCCGACTCAGCCGTAAAGAGCCGCATCTACTGCTTCCTTTCTGGTCCTCCTCTTGTAGCTTCTAATTTTCTACATTTTCTCTTAAGCTAATCACGCGGCCACTACACGACTCATGATAAATTTTTTCTGATAATTTGATTTTTTCTTAAGAGGGGTTTTGAAATCTTGTCTTTATGTAAAAAGTCAGCTATAAAGCTTCTGAAAGTAGTTGCTCCTAAGTTGCTTCTCTTTCAGCCTACTAAAAAACAGACAAGAAGGATAAACCTGTTTTCAAACAATCACCACCATCTCTGGCTGTTGATTTAGTAACGGGCGCGCATCTTTTTTGAAGAAAACCTCCAGATTGACCTCAGGTCACTTATCGCACTACTCTCTCCTTCTTTCAGGTTGCGGTGCAGGGAGTTCTGGTCTACCTCTGTTTTCTCAAAATAGGTTAAGAGAGAGTTTAGTCGTTTATTGACAGTCAGTGATGCTTACAGTATTTGCCGACGGAAACTGTTGAGTTACTGATGAGGAAAAGATATGCAGAGAATGAGTAAACCATTAATTTTAGAGGTACCGTGCAGGCCAATCTCAATCGGTGCTGCTCATAACAATGCGGAAGGCTGAACAAAGTTCTGATGGAATGTTCTTGAGTACAATTTTGCCGTAGATCGCTTTGACAACAGCCTTGCCGCAGTACTCAACAAGCTGACTTTTAAAATTTATTGTGAGAACCTCCTTCGTCTCCCTTCCTCCTCCCCGTCTCTGCAACAGGTGAAGGAATAGCAGACGAGTGCCTGACATCACTTAGATGGCTAGCTTGGACTTGACGGTTCAAAGACTTTGAGGAGGTCTTATCGTTTTCTTCTGCCTCCAGTGCAGTTTCGCACCTCTATTGATTTCGAACGCCGACTGTTAATTTTTGCCCGGTTTCGGTTCTTCGTCTGCTGTCTGTAACTTCTAAGTTTTTTTCATTGATATCTGTTGTTACTGAAGGTTGCTTTCGTTTGTGAGAAAAAGAGCATAAGGAAAAAATGAACCCGCGACATTACTCAGCATAGTTAGAATGTTAATTATCACACTTCTCTCCTCTTCCTTCAAGTCACTGTCAGTTTTATGTATTTTTGAAGAGCTGCTTTATCTTTGCAAATAAAAGTTCGGCGTCAACAAACCAGCGTACGCTAGTGATAAATTGATTAGTCGCTACCTTCTTTGAAGTTCTTTAAAAAAATTTGGCTTCCACGTTTAATGCACTCATCTTCACTTTACTGGAACAAACGCTTATTCAATTTTCAAGGTCGTTGATTTTAAAATTTTATTTTAAGAACCACTTTTTTTTTGAAACTGAAAGACGATGTAAACCATTTTTTGTTTACTCGACTGTATTATTGATTTCAAACAGCTGTTTTTTTCTCATCTCTGATATAAACTGTTGATTTTTATCGAAGCCGTTTTCCGTAATTGTCGAACAATTTACTGTTGTTTGTAGTTGAATAAAACACGGAGAAAACGGTTTGCAGCTGTGGTTATTACAGCATTTTCTTTGATGTTAAATAGAATTATCTTTGATACTTCTCGCCGAAAGAGATCACTGGAACCGCGGTTAAAAGCACGACAACAAGAACAGTGTTAACAATAAACAACAACTGCGTTATAGCAAACAGCAAATTCTTCTGCATATTTCATCAGATGCAAATTGACTAATTATAACATTTGATCAAATAAAAGTTTGCCAATAGTATAACAATTTTACAAGTGTTTTTTTCGTATTTTTTAAACTTTAAACGGAGCAATTAGGCAATGTTGAAATAACCTGAAACATTTTTGATTTATGATTATTTGATAAGCTTGTTTTCTTGCATTCTCAACTAAATTCAGCAGGCATTTAGTGATTCAAAGTTGAAAAAATTAGCACAATTGTTTTTTTTTTTTTTTTCGATAAAAATTGAGTTTACATTTTATATTCTTCTGGTTTTATAACTGCCTGTGAAGCAACGGCAGGTTTATCACTTTAGTTATGCAAATGTGTTGGTCTTATTTTGCAGATGACAATTTTGCAAAAGGACGCGCTAACCAAATACAATAATTTCTTGCTTACTTACACATTTATTCAAAAATAGTAAAAATAATAAAAACTTTCTTTTTG